AAAATGGAAATAAAGTCTTTGTAAATAGGGAAGGGTGGAGGGGGTGAAGGGAGGTCTAGGAATGGGGAAAAAATAAGAACCAAGATGCATTATTTAAAGGTACAATTCCCAATGAGAAATGTAATTGTGTTGTATACCTACAATGTACCAATAAAATAATTTAATACAAAAAAAAACTGAACTCACATCTCAGGTCCCATATAACTTATTTTTTATTTATTGGATTATGACTAGTATTTTTAATTCAGTAAATATTTGCTGAGCACCAACTGTGGGCCACACTGCTCTTGGCACTAGAGCACCTTCAAAGCAGTGAAGAAAACACTCAAAATTGTCCTTATGTATTTAACTGGTATTCTACTGAGAGTAGGGAGCCAACAGACAATAAGCAAATCATATATCAGTTGGATAACATGCTACAGAGAAAATAATAAAGCAAGGGAGATGGAAGATAGCCAACATGGGGCAAAAAGAGACACACAGTGAGAGAAAGCATTTGTGAAGTAGCTGTGGGTTGTAGTTGTTGCAATCTTAACTATTATGGTCACAAAGGTTTCATTTGGGATGCTGACATCTGAGCTAAGATCTTAAGGCAGTGAAGCACCAAACCATGCTGTGCATCTATTTGGAATTAGCTAGGCTAAGCCTTTCTTTTTGGATATTATCATCTGAAATAAATCAACAGCTGAATAGCAAAATGATACTGATTTTCTTTACAAGTTACCCTGATCTACTGTAATCAAACCAAAAATGGAAAAGAAACATTCTAATTATTGGTAACCCTCTTACTGTTGATATATCTGCCTTCTGAGAAAAAAATTTAAATGTTTATTTCATTCCTTTATACACAAATACTTTAACATTTTAAAACTCCCCAAACATAATTCAAGTGTAAAAAATTATTTTTAGTCTTAAATGAGTCCAGATTTCATCATGGGCTAAAATTTTAAGATATAATATGAGTGCTGAAACTGAATTTTAATCATATAGATGAATCACAACATGCATCTTTAGCTAGGCATGTATTATGGATAAGTCTAGTTTTCTACAGAGAATAATCACATGTTCTAATTACCATTTTGGTTATACGCATAATTAATAATATTCTGTCTTAATGGGACACACTGAATCTTCAGACAGTTGCAAGCTTTAACTATGCATACTGCCAAATCCAACTGTCAGCTGCACTGCCAAACACAAAGGAATCTTGATGTAGTGTTTCAGCAATGATAACAATATGCACATCTTTATACATGATACAATGGAAAAATTAATTGCTTTTCTTCCTTCAAAATTTTCTCCACATTAACTCTGTCGCTTGATTGATCATTTACCCTAAATTATACATATTGGCAAGTGATCTTATGAGCAACAGAAACATAAATGTAAATGTGATCCAAGATCCAAAGTAAAAAAAAAAAAAATTGCTATACAAAGACTTACTGATTGTAAACTTTCATTTTCACGTAAACAAGCTGTATGCAGCTCTAATTTCAAGGTTGCAATGTGACTTCGATGAGATGTCATTTCCTTCTCTAACGTAGCAATTCTAGCGCTTGCAAGCTGGTAGATGTCCATGAAACTTTTAATCATAGCCTTAAGAAATAAAAATAATGTCACATACAATTCAAATAAAGCTGTCCCCAAAGGAGAATTTCCATAATTTGAAAGCAAAATCATTAAAAATTTAAAATAAACAACTTTGCATCTCTCTTGAAATTAATAAAGCTAAGCCTCATATTTTATATTGAAAACAGTGACTATTTGGGGGTTGGTTTTTTTTTGGTACCGGGGATTGAACTCAGGACCTTGTGCTTGTGAGGCAGGAGGCAGAACCACTGAGCTAAATTCCCAGCCCAACAGTGACTATTTTCAGAAAATTTTGGGGAAAATAATTGAGACTTCATTCCAGAGTTTATTTAAATAAGATGTACTTTGATCTATTGTGCTTAAAATTTAGAATGCAGTTGTAAAAGATGGCACACTTATTTTCTGTAGTAAAGTTAAAGACAAGTTGTAATTTGACTTAATTTTCAATCTTGAGATGTAACACATGGATATACAAATAAGACTTTTCAAAAAGAGCTGAGTTAGTAAAATTTCCAATCCTTCTAAAAAACAAATGTCTTGAAATAAAAGAGCTAAAATAATCCTATGTCTTTCTAGTGAATAATTTGATTCTCTTATTGAAAGAAAAACATAATTGTGTTTATTCACTTAATACAAGAATAGCCTCACATTACATTATACATGATAAAATAAGTAACATAAACAAATGTTAGTAACTTATTATTTCTCCTTAATAGTAGACTATTTGGGGGATTGGTGAATCTCTGTACCAATTTTAACCAGATTTTACAGACTTCTTCTAAAGCAACCTGCAGTGAATTTTAAGCCCAAGGGATACTATTATGCTTTTTTTTTAAATAAAAGAGTCTTTCAAAATATTTCAAATGTATCAAGATAAATTCAATCATTTCAAAGACACTTTCAAAAATAATTTTATATTATTTCCAAGAAAGAAATGTTCCTGCTCCACAACTTTGTACAATGGTAGAGAATTTCAAATTAAATTCAATCTGAAGGCTGAGTTGGGAAAGCTTTGAGAAACCAGATATTAGAGCAATTCTAAATGGATGCGAACAAAGAGTAAGAAGCAGTGTACAAATGTCTGAGTAAATTAATTACTTGTAAGTAGGAGTAAGAAAATTCAGAGCTTTTTACCTAGGAAATTTCTATTTGCTCTTTTAAAAAAATATCAAACACAGACTCTATCAAGAATCTTCTTTACCTAGTAAATTCCTAATTATTCTTTTAAAAAAAAGTGAAACACCATCTCTGTCAAGAATCCTCATTACAGAAAAAAAAGCAGTGTTAACTTCCATCCTAGTTCTTTGTGGATCCTTCATGCCTGCTTTTACTATTGCATTTACTCCTTTGACAGAAATTTATTCATTTATACAATTACCTTCTTTACTAGACCGAGAAACTCCACAAGATTAGATACTACATCTACATGTTTCTATATTGTAAGGGATGATAGCGGCCACAGTGAGTATTGGTTTGAAAGGAAAACTGAATGACTATTTTGAAGAGTGAATGAATTAATAAAAAATTGGAAAAGATCAAAAACTTGTGAATTCTGTTACCCAACACTAAATAAGCATGGTACAACTCATGTCTGGGGACATCCCATATGTCCTAGCCTACCTTACTTTGACTCATTTCTAGTTAACTTTATCGTATATTATTATCACAAAGTATTTCCATAGGTCTCAAAGGTATGCAAAAGTCAAGCTATCAGATCATATCTATTTCTATGTCCAATTTCTCTCCATTCTTATAAATTTATTTATCTTCTCTATTAGATACTGAATCAGGAATCCCAAGTCCTGTTTTTATTTTGTTTTTCTGTTATTCACTGTGCCACATATTTAGCTTTATGTTGTTGGGCAATGTCACATAATCTCTCTGAGCCCCCATCTCCTCCCTCTACATACCAACTAGGAAAAAATCATGTTCTTGCTTACTTCTAAAATTGTTGTAAAGCTCAGATAATTAAAAGCTTATATTTATTAGGTATTTATTGCATCCTGGGAACCATATAAGCATAATATATACTTTATTTCACTCATCTTTATAGTAACCATAGAGAGTACATATTATTTTTAACCTAGTTTTTCTAAGTAAAATATACAGGTTTGTACAGGGTCACAATTACTCAGATGGTGGTCAGGATTCAAATCCAAGTGTGGTTGTACCTTGGTTCATGAATGCTTTTGTTGGCAAACCAAATTGTTTGCAAAATTTTATTTTCGTTTATAAACTCAGCATCGGGTAAAAACACGACCATGGCCATCTTTCCCACACAAATACTAATGTGCCTATCTTTTCCAAAATCATAGAACAAAAAGTTCGTGAACTGAGGTACTACTGTATATCTCATGCAAAACCTTTCCCTTAACTCTTCAACTATACTGCATCTAATATAAGACAGCTCTCTAAAAAATGACAGAATACTGAATTTCATTGTAGTATTAATACTGTTCTATTTTTAACTTCTCCAGTAAAATCTTAATGAGATAATCTATGACAGGTGATACACACACACACAGTTACTTAAGGACCTAAAATATATGCATTCCATATTTTGCTTAAAATATGCAAAAGTGCTTCTTAAATGAAAAAAAGAAGTGGTCTTCTCCTGAATTATTATTTCACTGTAAGTCACAAGAGAATTGGCCTTTAATATGTTAGGATAAAACTGTTCAACATTTTAAAAGTTATCCTATTTCCTAGATTTATATAAACTCATTTCATTAGTTCTCATATATGATATTCTAAAAGGAATAAATATGTTCTTTCAAATCTCTTTTTTAAGAAACAAATTACTTTTTGAGAAGTAATGTCAGAAGTGTTACATGGTAGATGGAACAAAAGTGTAATTATTTTGGCTCCTTCCATGTTCTACTTTTTACAACTAAATTATAATATTCAGTAGAATTAAGAGAAATCACATATTACTTCCATATAATGCTAAAAAGAATACAACTCAATTTTGCTTAGGATTAGAAACTTAAACATTTAATCTTTTAGAGCAGTATTTCATTTAAGAGACTAAAGTAATTTTGTGTAACACTGTGTTTTTCAGAGCAGCAAAGTATAGTGACTTACCTAGAAAGCAGGTTTTATGGTACTAACACCATAAATACACTACTGTATTCTCTTCTAATATGAAAACTTTCTATGTAACTGGAAGGTGTGGAGGAATGTCATAAAATAGCAACATCATTCAAAGAAGGTACAGAGCCTTTGAAAAATAATCTTAACTTCCAATATTAAAAAGTGATTCAAGCTATACAGAAGAAATGTATCAAATTGGCAGAAGAAATGGAAATAACAGTGTCAATCAACTGAGGGGGATGAGAAAACAGAGTAAACATCTATAACTGTATCAATATCCCAACATCTAACCCGTACAACATACCCTGCTCCAATATTAAAATACCATGTTGTTTTATGCTAGGAAACAACGACAGAACAGCATGAGATTGTGTGCAGCATGCCCTGAATTTGAGAACTTCCTGTGTCAGCTTTGGCCCCAGGGACTCTGACTATGTCATGCAGTGAGATCTGCATCACATTCTGGCCTACTTAGTTGTATGAGAAAATAGAACAAAAGAGAATTTCTGGATAAGAACAACCTTTGTTTTACAGCTAATCTTACCGTGTTTATAATTGGTAGTAACAAGATGAGAGAACCCAAACATATAAAATTCTGTACATCACACACATACTAAGTTGTGGTTTAGACTGACTTAACATGTGAACATCAGGGAAAATGGGATCACTGGGGAGAGGATGTTAGGAGGAAAAATCAGTGAAATATCATAAGGCCTAGTTGCAAAAATGTTAGATGTTTTATCTACATTGTTGAGTAAGTGGGAAGAAAAATCTCTGACATTTCACTTTAACTCATAAATTATAAATACATGTATTATTTAAAGACATTAGGTAAAACAGATATGCCAGATATACTAAAATATGCAAAATATAATAGATTCCCATAAAATGGGGATAATAATTGCTATCTCTGTTTTTTGGTACTGAGGATCAAACTCAGGACCTTGTACTTGTGAAGCAAGCAGCAGCACTACTGAGCTAAATACCCAGCCCAATAATTCCTATCTTTTAAAGATTTCTGTGGAAATTAAATGAGTATTAACACATGAAAAGACCTTAATGTACATGGTACCTAGTAAGCACTCATCAGATAAATGTTAGCTGTGATAATAATATTAAATTAGAAAAAATTACTGTTTAATTCATAAAGTAATTCAGTATTTCCAAAGGATATGTATTCTACATAATGCAAAATAGTTATTGTTAGATATCTTCAATACATACTTAATATAATAAAGTCCTTTCAGAAAAAATATTTAGAATCCAATGAATAGCAATTTGCTGCAACAAAATCTCTCATTGAAGGAAAAAAGTACTATATTTATAATGTCATTCCTAAGGAACAAAGTCTCACAACAATTTTTACTACCAAATTTATTTGTTGGCACCTGGAATTAAAGGACAATTAGTTATTTTATGTTATCAAAAATCATTCTGATAAGGTTGCTCATTTAGTAGACTTAATTTCATTCCAATTTTTATACAATTTCATAAATGTAGGGATATAGTAGGGAATGAGACTTAAAGGGACTAGCTGTCCACAAAGAGCAACTGTGACCCATCAAGTTCACTGAAAATCTGGAATTGAACTCATTTGATGTTTGTGTTCTGGCCCTGCCCACAAACAGTACTTGTTTCACCATGACATTCCATTCCAGTACAAATGTGTGTAAGAAACCATGTAACAAGATACACTGCCGCATGAAACGTTCTGCCATGTGAAACTGTTTGCACATGTGTGTATATGTGTGCATAAAAGCTACCAAGAATGCCATCAGTAAAGAAAGCTGAGGAATCAATAAGAAATAGAAAACACAAGCAACAAGACTTCAGTGAAACCCTACCCAAAACAAAGGAACACTGCTTCAACAGAGGGACAAACTGCAGGTGGGCTTGAAGACAAGCTTAAACAC